GCATTGTAGTGTGGCCATCTCTCCAGGGGATGATTTCTCACTTTTCATTTTCCCTATCTGTGTGTGTGTGTGTGTGTGTGTGTGTGTGTGAGAGAGAGAGAGAGAGAGAGAGAGAGAGAGAGAGAGACAGTCAAAAACTATTAAAAAACAAATAAACAAATAAACAACAATAACAAAAAACTGCCACATGGCCCAGCAATACTGCTACTGGCTGTATCTCCAAAAGAAAATCAGTATGTAAAGATACCTGTACTCTGGTGTTTACTGCGGCACCTTTCACAGTAGCCAACTTATGGAATCAAGCTAAGTGTCCATTATTAGATACATGATGGAATACTATTCAGCTATTATAAAAACAAACTCTTGTCATTTGACATTAAATGGTGAACCTGGAGGGTGTTATGTTAAGTGAAATAAGCCAGGCACAGAAAGAAACATCATATGTTCTCCTCTATCTGTGGAAATTGGAGGGGAAAAATAACTTCATAGAAGCAGAAAGATAAAGAATGCACTACTAGAGGCTGGGAAGGACTAGGAGAGCAGACAGAGATGTTGATTTATGGAAACAAAATTATAGAGCAATAAAAGGGATAATTTCTAGTGTTACATAATACTGTAGGGAGAATATACTTTTTTTTTTTGGAGATATTTTTGCTATAGGGCGCGTGCGCTCACCAGACAGACAGAGAGAGACATAGAGACAGAAAGCGAGAAATCACCACCAGGGGGGATGGTCACGCCGCAATCCCTTCTCCTCCATTCTCCTCTCGGGATCTTGGGCACACACGCACATGCGCCTGGCGTGAGTTTTAAGTCACCGGGTCCAGGACGCGAACCGCTGTCGACTACGTGGGAGTCCAGAGACATAGCCATTACGCTAACTGCTGGTTCCCAGGGAGAATATACTTAACAACTGTATATATATATATTTTTTTTTTGGAGAGGTTTTTGCTATAGGGCACGTGCACTCACCAGAAAGACAGAGACAGAAAGCGAGAAATCACCCCCCAGGGGGGATAGCCACACCACAATCCCTTCTCCTCCATTCTCTCGGGATCTTGGACACGCACGCACACGCGCCCAGCGTGAGTTTAAGCCGCAGAGTCCGGGACTCACACCACGGTCAACTACATGGGAGTCCAGCGACATTGCCATTACACCAACTGCTGGTCCCCTGTATATCTCATATTAAGTAAAAAAAGAGGATTTTTGAATGTTCCTAAAACAAAATAAAGACAAATGGTTGAGATGATGGGTACATACACTAACTATTCTGGTTTAATCACTTCATACTGTGTTCTTGAACTGAAAAATTACATTCATATTATACCCTCACAGATATGTACAATTATTGTATATTACTTTTTAAAGAAATTACAAGTAAAAAAAGACAACTATAATCTCAGTAGAATGAATTAACATTTTCTTCTGATATTAAAAGAAATTAAAACATAATGATAAGCCCCTAACAGTATCATGGTTACTGAGAGAAGCCAAATCTAGGTTCTTTTCATCTGCAAGTCATGCATAGTGTGTATCAGCTACAGACTCAGGTAGTACCCACAACAGCTGCCAGTAGCAGATGGGGTAATAGGCTCCATTGTTCCCTTCGGCCTGGAAAACCTCTCTAGCTATGGAAAAGAAACTCTTCCTTTCAGTTCTAACTCGTCCCATGTGAGATAATGGCCTATCCCTGAAATGGAAGTCTGAAAATGCCATTGCTAATTAGCTTTAGACTAGGTAGGAGACACTCCTAGTGTTTTAAATAATACTGGGTTACATTAGGATGGAGGAATGGTCTATTACATCCTCCTCAACCCCTATTATACCTTCTAATATCTAAGAACAGTTATTCACATATATTAGCTATTTGTCACAGATTTCTCACCCAATCTTTACAACAACCTTAAGAAATAGGAACTGTTATCCTTCCCATTACACAGAAGCAGGAACTGAGGTTTAAAGATATTTGCCCAAAGTAGACTTCTTAACTGGAACAGAAAAGAATACGTTTTTTTTTTAAGTTTTTATAAAAAAAGGACCTCACCAAACTTAAAAATGTTTTCTATTAAAAAAAATAACAAGTTGAAAAGGCAAAACAAAGACTGGGAAAAAATAGTCAAAAATATATATCTGATTTACAGGAAGACAGTATTTTTTAAGGATTCTTTTATTTAATTTTATTTATTATTATTGCTACTTTTTCAATGTAACCCAAGAGAGACAGAGAGAGAGAGAGAGTGAGAAAGCAAGCCATCAGGTCTGGGACTCAAATCACGGTCAGCCATGTAGAAATCCAGCACCTTAACCACCACACCGATCTCCTGGCCTCAGGAAGATTGTATTGTTTTTAAAAATTCTTACAATTGATAATAAGACAAAAAAACATGGTGCTAGTAGATGGCATAGCAGTTATGTTGTTGGACTCCCACATGCTTGACCATGGTCAAGTCCCACACCTGGCAGCTTGAAACTCATGCTGGATGCATGTGCGAATATGCCCAAAATCTCAAGAGGAGAATGGAGGAGGATGGGTTGTGGGTAATTTTTCACTTTCTCTCTCTCTCTCTCTCTCTCTCTCTCTCTCTGTCTCTCTCTCTGGCAAGTACATATGCTCAATCGCAAAAACAAGAAAAAAAAAACCCCCACCAAAAAAAAAAAAAAAAAGCATAAAACAAATTATAAATAGATGAACAAAAGATTTGAATGGGCTCTTCACAACAGAAAATATATTGATGAACAATAAGTATATGAAAAATGTTTGACATTACTAGATATCAAAAAAATATAAAATAAAACCACAATCAGATACCACTTACATACCCACCAAAATGACTATTACAAATATTATAACACCACCAGGCTTTGGCAAGGATGTGGAGTGAATGGATTTGCACAATATTGCTGGTGGGAATAAAATGATACAAATGCTCTAGGCAATTCTGGCAGTTTCTTATAAAGTTAAACATCTTCCTACTGTATTACCTAGCAACTCTACTCCTAAGTATTTACCCAAGAGAAAAGAAAACATGCCCACACAAAGATTTCAATGTGAATGTCCACATAGTTTTTTCATAAACAATCCAAATATCTATTAACAGGTAAACCAATAAATCAGGGTACATCTACCTAATGGAATACTATGTAGCAATACAGAGGAATGGACTACTGATAGACCTAACAAGAATACATCTCAAATATATGCTGAGGGAAAGAAGTCAAACACAAGAGAGTACAGATTCTATGATTCCATTCATATAAACTTTGGCTGAGAAAGGGTACAAAGGAACAAGGAAACAAGAAGACCAACTAAGAGACTGTTGCAATTATCCAGGTGGAAAATGGTGGTGGCTTAGACCAGGCTGGTTGCAAAGGAAGTGATGACAAGTGGCCTGATTCTGGATATATTTTGAAGGTGGAGCCCCTATCAAATTTTCTGAAGAAATGAATGCAGGATGAATGAGAAAAAGATAAATCAAGGATGGCTCCAGGGTCTTGAATTTCAGGAATGGAAAAGATGAACTTGTTACTAATTGAGATGATGAAGCATGTGGGTAGAGTAGGTTGGGGAAAAGAATGAGAACAGTGGTCATTTCAGTTTGAAATGCCCAGATGTCCAAACGAAAATCACAGGTCAGCGGTTAAATACACAAAGAATTCTAGGCAGGATATAGAAATTTGGGATTTTTCACCCCATTTTTCTAGATAAAGAGCTGAGAACAAGTAGAATGAGTTCAAAAGAAGCAAAATATCTGGACAGATCTTTTCTATGTACAAAAAAGTAGTGATTTTTAAATTTTACTTATTTGGATTAGAGTGAAAATTTACTAGTTTTGGTTGTAAACATCTTCAATACAACTGACAAAAAAAACCCTGTACACAATGCTCAGGTAAGGTTCAGGGATGGTGATGGAATTCCTCTGATTGTGAGGGTTGCTACCAAATTGGCAACTGCTGGGTACCCTAGGGACAAGGAGACCAGCTTCCATGTGGTACCCTCTCCTGCACTCTCCCACTTTCCCACCTTTGGTCTGCAGGGAATGGAAGACAAAGGAACTGTTTCTCTCCTTTCACCTTCTGCCTCCTGTGCCCAGACAGTCCAAAGTCCTTAGAGCCTTCAGCGTGCAGGTTGTTTCATTTAAGAATATGTATTCAGCGTCTTGCATCTTAGAAGAAAGACACAGTTGCCTTGCAAGCACCCTCTTAATCTGACTTTACAGTTGGAATCTTCAGTGATAACCTCTATCTGTGTGGTATGATTTGATGGAGTCAGGAAATTTTTTTTTCTCTCTAGATTCCTGGAATTCCATCATTAGTATGAAAGGTGAGAGTGAAATGCCTAACTTCAAAAGAGCAGTACTGGGGTTTCCAGCAAGTAAACCAATGGAGAAAAGAGAATCTGTAGATGACAAAAAAAAAAAATAGGAGCTCGTAAAAAGGGAGAGGCCTAAAACAACCCCACCGCAGTTTTGTTAGTGTGAGTTCTACTTGGCTCATTCCCAACACCCAGTACGTAGCAGTTACAAATATGTGTTGAATAACTGAATGCTCATTTTTCTTCACTTGGAAAACAGACTGATCCTCCCTTTAAAAAGGCAAAAGGATAATTTCAATAGATGAGATTAATTTACTCTCCTAAGAGTCATTAATAGGGGTGGGGGGCAATTTCTGGGAATCCTCAGAAGCTCTTTGGAGTGACATTTTCCTCGCCCAGGGCAGAACTTGTCCCAGAGGCCGAGAGCACTAGAAGGCTGATTAAAACCCGCGTTATCACTTGCCTACGTGAGCTCCTGGGCTGGGGCCGGGGGAGTCTGAGAAGTGAGGGGCTAGCAGAAGAGGTAGGCCTGGGGCGGCGGACAGCGCCCCGGGGCTGGGGTCGCGGACCAAGCTGTGCGGCGTGCTCTCCCTCCTGGCTTGCAGCGCTCCGCTCACCACTGGCGCCTCCCTCGGCTCACTCCTCCGCCCCCCTACGCCCTCCCCTTTCCCTCCCTTTTTCCTCCTCCTGCAGGAGCGGCGCTTGCCAGACCTCGCCAGTTCAGACCCACGGGGCTGCCCTCCCCTCTGCACTCCCCTCGCTGCCTGGGCCTGGAGCGCAGCGCGGCCGCGCAGGTAGGAACCCCGACCGAGAGGTCGCACCCAGTGAGCCCCGTGCCCGCGGGGCGCGCGCCAGGTGCAAGGTGGGGTAACCTGAGGGATGCAGAGTACCTGAGAACTCCCCAAACAGCACGAGGTCTCTTAGGCAGAGAGAAAGGTGGAGGTGTGCGGTCTCAAAATGTAGTCGGTCAGCAAGTGCTAGTACTCGGGTGACATCTATAAGGATGGGTGGTGTGTGCGGGGCTTTGCCCATAAACGTGCTTTTTAAGGTTTCAAGGGACCAGTGTGCAAGATTGAAGCCGCACCTGGATCCCACAGGAGCTGGAGCGCTGAGCATTTGGGGGGGGGGGGGGGC